AGCCGCCTGATCGTAAGCTGCATTGGCATTGGCACAGCGACCTTCTTTTTGCCCAGGTCCATGCCTAACTGAGCCTTCATGGGGGGGGGGGGGGGGGGGGTCACATTCCCTCCCATACATGAGGAAAAGGGAGAGAACTCTGTTGAGGCGTGATGGGTATCCTATACGTGGCCAGAACACCAAGAACATGTAAATCCCAGTCGGATTGTGCCTTGTTAACCTGTTGGCACAGCATGGACGTAAGAGTACTGTGCAAGCGCTCTACCATCCTGTCAGGCTGGGGATGGTAGGGCGACATCCGGATCTTTTTAGTGCCCAGGGAGTCGCACACCTCTTTAATGGGCCGAGGATGTTGAGGGCAATGAGCTCATTAATACGAGACACCACGATGGAATTCAACAGTGGCTAGGCCTGCCTCGGCATGGGTTTTCGGCGAGCCCACTCAACACAACCCTTAATCATGTGGTACACATCCTCCAACATCCCGGCCCAAAAGAAGTCACACTTCAAGGTCAACAAAGTTTTCCGCACCCCAAGGTGCATTTACTTTACGTAACTTTACCCCACAGAGCAGTTGGCACAACGATGCAGTAGATTTGAAGCTTTCATGACTGCAAGGATCCATATTCTTTGGTTCTATTCGGTAAAGTCACGTAGGTAAAAAATAAAACAACAAAAATCACGACGTTTCGGCCACAACACAAGTGGCCTTCATTAGGTGAAGGGACCGTACTGTCCAGAGGACAGCGTTGGAGTGAAGACAGCCAAGCCCAGGTCGCATCCTTTAAGCTGTGTGAAAGGAAACAAACGCCTTGACATATGAATTAGCATAAATGCTGTAGAGGACCGGCACGGGGGGGTGGGGGGCGGGAGAGTTTAAGAATGTTGGTGTGAAGGGAAATAAGCTGGGAAACAAAAAACGCCTTGACGAAGGAATTGGCATAAAATGCTGTAGAGGACCGGCACGGGGGGGGGGAGGGGGGGGGGGGAGTTTGCAAATGTTGGTGTGAAGGGAAATAAGCTGCTGTGAAAATTTGGGATACACTACTTGAATAAATATACTGTACCATTGAAAATTTGTTTAATGTTTGCTATGATTTAGAACATCTTTCCAATGATTGCTTACTTTGAAACCATCTTCTCAGTTGAAATTGTGTCTGTGTTTGTAAATCTGAATTGCCTCGTGGATAAATCTCTGATAAAAACCCATGGGTTTGCAGAGGACCTTGGTATCGGAGAAAATTATATCGTGATCACCCACAGCGTTGTAACAGTGATCAGCTACGGCAGAAGAATTTGTCCTGTCAGATTTGAAAACACGGCAGAACGAATTCTTCTGCCATAGCTGATCACTGTTACAACGCTGTGGGTGATCACGATATAATTTTCTCCGATACCAAGGTCCTCTGCAAACCCACGGGTTTTTATCAGAGATTTATCCACGAGACAATTCAGATTTACAAACACAGACACAATTTCAACCGAGAAAATGGTTTCAAATTAAACAATCATTGGAAAGATGTTCTAAATCATACCAAACATTAAACTCATTTTCAATGTACAATATATTTATTCAAGTAGTGTATCCCAAACTTTCACAGCAGATTATTTCCCTTCACACCAAAATTTGCAAACTCCCCCCCCCGCCCCCGTGCCGGTCCTCTACAGCATTTTATGCTAATTCCTTTGTCGGCATTTGTTTCCTTTCACACAGCTTAAAGGACGTGACCTGGGCTTGGCTGTCTTCACTCCAACGCTGTCCCCTGGACAGTACGGTCCCATCACCTGATGAAGGCCACTTGTGTTGTGGCCGAAACATCGTGATTTTTGTTGTTTTATTTTTTACTTACGTGACTTTACCGAATAGAACCAAAGAGTAACGATGCAGTAATATTGCAATTCGTCATTCCACCTCATCAGCAGCCCATCACGAAGGGTTATCAGAGACATTCCCACCGGTACCTTTTTGCTACCTCTCGTTCCAACGTGACTTAACTTTAATGTTAACAAGGAGGCATCCTCTACTTGGAGGCAGCCCCATTCAGCGTGCATGTTGTCACAGGGAGTGGTTGTCACGGGTGATGGAATATCGACCGACGCTACAAAAGTGCACGCCAATCCTGCAGCCGCAGGTTTACATCGGGCGGCACCCATCAAACACACAGTGGTCCCTCGGCGGTAACCGTGACAACACGTCCGCGTTGCAGTGACATACACTCTTCCTGTAGTTGACCATGAGTAGTCCTGCAAAATTTCTAAACAGCGAGAAAGTTGGCCAGATGGCTGGTCAACCCGCAAAGCATATTGAAGGGCCACGTGGTCCGTGTACACAACAAATTGCCTTCCGTAAAGGTACGGCCTGTACTGCTGTCCAAAATGCACTATGGCCAACAACTCTCAGCACATCACACAATAACGCTGCTCTGTGGGGGACAGCACACGGCTCCCACAAGCCACAACCCTCTCCACACCGTTCACGACCTGGGACAGTACAGCGCCGATTCCGGTGTCACTGGTGTCTGTATCCAACACAAAGGGCAGAGATAAATTGGGGTACTCCCATGCTGCAGCATCCTCAGCAGGCATTGCAGACCCGAGCTGGACATTGAGCTCTGCTACGACGGAGAGAAAGCCCGTGAGACATGCGGCGAGCTCGCACCACCCCTCTCCGACTGCCGGCAGCGAGGTGTCGATATCCCTCCCTTGCTGCACAACAGGGATTGCCGCTTCAGGATTTATCTCCGGAGTCCTCAATTCCGGGGCAGTTGGGGGTATCATATCCCCATCGTTCTCCTCAACCGAGGACGCAATCGGCGGAATCTTCCTCTTGGCCGACTTGGACATGACGACTACATTTCTTTAACACTTCTGACGTCCAATGTAGTGACTGGCTCAGCTGCTTCTTTATTTAATGTTTTTTTTTTATACATAAACTGATGTGTTTTCCCGTTGGGTCCATACAATTGTTGTTTAGCTAATTTTTTGTACTTATTTTTTTGCTCGTATTTATCTTGATCCAAACTTGGAAATATTCTTTATGGAGCTATCTGGTCATTGTCTTTAATGGATTTATATTGATTGTTATAATGACTATGTCATGAGTAAATCTGAGATAGTAAATTTTTCTACATTCGTGTACGTGCCTTTATTTCTCCAATCCATTTGTTGGAAAAAGATGTCCATGTGAATCACATTGGTGAAAGCGTGTTTCCCCTCACATGCACTTGTTCCTCTCTTCATGCCAGCCCAATGGAGCTGTTCCATTAAATGTAACGACTTTTGCCATTTTTATACTTTTTTATATATACATATAATTTTGGCCTCAGTTTGTGAGGGCTTGGATGACTACAGCAATGTGTGCATGTCTGCCATCAGTTAATTTCTATGGTATCACATACTGTACCATTGTATCAAACACCATTATGTTCCATTGTATTGATTCACTCATCATTGAAATACGCGCACAAGTTATACCTCTTGGGCACAGGCCTGGTCTATGTATTATATAATTGTGTGTGCATTCACGCTAGTTAGTTTGTGATTTCATGTTTAATAACAATAATATTAATTATTTTATACACCCCGAAAAACATTTGACTGAGCATCGCTACTTTTCTTTAGCATAGACCAGTTTGGGATTCTTGGCTAAGTATTTTACACTGTTGGAGGAAAACAGACAATCCAGAGATAAATACGCATTTTAATGCCAAGAAATCGTATGGTAGGTCTACAGCTGACTTGCAGTACTGCATTCTAATGGCCTCCGTGTACTCTGCAGGTTTGAAATTATTACCCACATGAAAGTGATCAACAACAATTCCTCCAGGCATGCATCAACTGTCAGTTGTGTATGTGTGTGTTTATGTCGCTCATGCAGCTGCAATGGCTGCATTGGGTACACGATCCAGACCTTGTCATATGTAAGATGCACCTGCCATTCTTCCACTCCGGTGGTGAGTGTACACCCAAGACCCCATTCAAACCCATAGTGGCCTGGTCTCAGCTAGCTGATGAAAGTTGCAATAAAGAATTTCATCATCACTTGCAGCTGGGGTTGGCATCGTCCCCCACTCCTCCTGATGTCGAGGGGAAATGGGCAAGGTTTAGGAGCTGCAGTGGCTGCCTTGGGTATACGGTCCAGACCTCCCCAGAGACCCTGGCTGACAGAGTAGGTGTTCAGCATCCCATATCAGAGAATGAGGAGGCTTACCGCAGCCTTCGCTCAGAGGTTCGGAGAGCCGTGAGACACTGCAAGGATGGGTGGTGGTCGCGGGTTGCGGAGGAGATGGAATCTGCCTCAGTGGACCGCGATCACAAATCACTCTTTAATTCCATCAAAAAAGTAACTTGTAGTGCCACACCTATCACCATCATTAGGGGAAAGAACGGTGATCCAATCTCTGACCCCCAGGAACAGGTTTGCAGATTTACTGAGCATTTCTGTGAGGCCTTCGGAGAGGGGAAATCCCTCAGCCTGGATAACATCATGGGGCAAAGTGGGGATGACCCTGCTGAGGCTAAAGTGCCTGAAATATTGTAAGTAGTAGTCACCCCCTGTGAGTTGCTGCTTGAGGTGCCATTTGTTGAGGAAGTACTGAAGGCGATCCAGAGTCTGAGACCAGGAACGGCACCGGGCAGTGATGATCTCCCAAGCGAAATGCTGAGGGAGGGTGGCGCTTCTGCACAGACATTGTAGGGGATAATGTAACTTTGTGGTCTCTTTCTGGTCTCTTTCAATCATGTAATGTGTAATAATTTAACACATTTGGCAAGTTTATGGATGCTAAATATCCCATGACAATTACTGTCATGGGATATTTAGCATCCACTGTGAAGCAGATGGAGCATATGTATGACTAAAACGCATACAGTAATAATTAGGGCGGCCACAGGCCACAAATCGCAAACCTCTACAGCAAGAGGCAATGTCAAACGTCACCAACACTTGGTCGGGTTGTAATTGTTGTTATTGTGTGTGTGTGTGCGCGCGCACAATGCAGGTGTGAGGTACAGAGTGTGGAGGGCCCGGGCACACCTGTGGAGGAGGTGTGGTGCGACCCCACGGAGAGACCCCAGGATGCACGAGCGTGTGTGCTGCAGTGCCCTGGAGAGTGTGTCATGTCTGAGTGGGGGCCCTGGACCAGGTGCCCACAGGTAACCAACTTAATGGCCCAAATATTGTGCCTCTGTTTTCCTTCCACTCCTTCAACCCCTAAACCTCTACTTTCCCTAAACCTCTACTTTCCCCAAACCTAACCCAAGTCCACTCCACCCGCATCCCTCACTGTCCTCGATCCCACGTATGAAAGCTTAGAAGTTACGTGGAAAACATCTTGCCTTAATAACTTGTAGATAAAGGTATAACCTTGAAATTGCTTAAATACGCAACTGCTGCCGAGAGGGCCTCCATTTGAGAGAACTCGAAAGCCGCTTCCAAGAGGGAATTTGGCCTACTCTTCAACGCTCACCAAACATTTTGGAAACGGTCGGATTACCCACACCTCACCCCCACCACACACGACCTGCAGGTCAATAGGTGTGTACCCATTTATACTGTTTGGTCGATAGAGATGGAGGGAAAAAAGTGTTACCAGCGTGGTGCCGAAAGGAGGAACCATTGAACTCTGGATTGCAAGTCCAGTATACAAACCATTACCCCATTGCAGCATCTCTCCTTATTTTCTTGGTTACTTGTTGATAGACTGTAATAATTTCCAAAATCTTAAACAAACACAAGATCCAGGTCCGATTCAATACAGTATACAAAATCCGTGATTTGATCCCATCTGTGAAGGATGTTATTCCTGACATGCAATACCCTGGTTTCGACAAACTAAGTTGTGTCTGTGGCAGCAGTTACATTGGGGGAAACGAAACGACATGTTTCGGACCGTGTTCGCGAACACAAGGTTGATTTGAAACAGGGCAGAACCAATACCTCTGCCGTGGCTGTTGATTGTTATAACGCAGTGGGCTCGCACGATATTGTTTTTTCTGAGACCAAGGTACTCTGCAAACCCTCGGGCTACCATCAAAGATTTGTCCATGAAGCCATTCAGATATATAAACACAGAGACAATTTCAACCGAGAAGATGGGTATTAGCTGAGCAATCATTGGAAGGACGTTATTAACCAAGCAAAGTCGTAACTTGCTGTGGTGCTCTCATTCTTCCCTGCCGTTTGTCTGTTATCTCCGACTCTCTGAGTTGCATTGCCCTGTTAGGTGTCTCTGCATTAACTGGCTGGGTTCTCACTAACATGCCACCTCTGCTCCTTTAGCCTCGATATATCGATGGTTCTGGGTGTGTGATGGGCTGTGTGTCTCACTGGCGCGACCACCGTTGTGGTGGTTCCCTTGCATAGACGTGCTTGCCTCTCACAGCGCAGTTGGCAGCGCCGCAGCTTGTGTTACACATAGACATGACATTAACCTCCTAATGCGCCTAATCTCTCTGCCTAATCTCTCCCATCAACATAGTGCTAATCTTCCATTAACACTGCTGTTGTGCGCATATGCAGGGGCGATACTCTTATGCGGCGACAGAAGCCCATTTCATGCTAATCTCTCTCCCTAAACTCTCTCTCTCCATAATCTCCCCCATTAACACAATTGACGTGCTTGCGTGCGGGGATGGAATTCCTTTCCAGCTCAGACCCCGCCTGCTTGCCCTTCGCCACATATATAACGTCTTATTGTAACAGCTCTCTCGCTGTGTTTCTTCCTAGTTCAGCAATTCCACTGCTGGATTATTTTTCCACCTGAGGACGACCGCTTGTGTTGCGATCGAAATGTCATGATATATTATTTTTTATTTTATTTTATTTTTCTACCGACGTGACTTTACCGAAAGAACCAAAGAGTATGTATTCCTGCAGTCACGAAAGCTTCAAATCTACAATATTGGTATTTAATTGTGGTATTTCATCGTTGATGTATATGGGAAAGTCAAAATTTGCATACATGCACAAACTCAATACATACTCAATGGTTACTGCCATCCATATGTCCCGTAAGTTTTATGATTATTTTCGAAAACTGGCCATCCTTTGTGAATGTTTTACATATTGCGCAAAAAAAATGTACCATGGTCATTTGTTAGCGCATGTTCCAGGTCATTAGAAATGTTGTTATTCATGTTAGAAATGTTAAGAGCCTTAAATGTTCTAATAATGGACTAAGACTGCTTCGACAGGCACAGGAATATTACTGCACAGTGTCTTCATACTATATACAGTGAGGGATAAAAGTATTTAATCCCCTGCTGATTTTGTACGTTTGCCCACTGACAAAGAAATGATCAGTCTATAATTTTAATGGTAGGTTTATTTGAACAGTGAGAGACAGAATAACGACAACAAAATTCAGAAAAACGCATGTCAAAAATGTTATAAATTGATTTGCATTTTAATTAGGGAAATAAGTATTTGACCCCCTCTCAATCAGAAAGATTTCTGGCTCCCAGGTGTCTTTTATACAGGTAAAGAGCTGAGATTAGGAGCACTCTCTTAATGGGAGTGCTCCTAATCTCAGCTTGTTACCTGTATAAAAGGCACCTGTCCACAGAAGCAATCAATCAATCAGATTCCAAACTCTCCACCATGGCCAAGACCAAAGAGCTCTCCAAGGATGTCAGGGACAAGATTGTAGACCTACACAAGGCTGGAATGGGCTACAAGACCATTGCCAAGCAGCTTGGTGAGAAAGTGACAACAGTTGGTGCGATTATTCGCAAATGGAAGAAACACAAAAGAACTGTCAATCTCCCTCGGCCTGGGGCTCCATGGAAGATCTCACCTCGTGGAGTTGCAATGATCTTGAGCACGGTGAGAAATCAGCCCAGAACTACACGGGAGGATCTTGTCAATGATCTCAAGGCAGCTGGGACCATAGTCACCAAGAAAACAATTGGTAACACACTATGCCGTGAAGGACTAAAATCCTGCAGCGCCCGCAAGGTCCCCCTGCTCAAGAAAGCACATACATGCCCGTCTGAAGTTTACCAATGAATATCTGAATGATTCAGAGGACAACTGGGTGAAAGTGTTGTGGTCAGATGAGACCAAAATGGAGCTCTTTGGCATCAACTCAACTCACCGTGTTTGGAGGAGGAGGAATGATGCCTATGACCCCAAGAACACCATCCTCACCGTCAAACATGGAGGTGGAAACATTATGCTTTGGGGGTGTTTTTCTGCTAAGGGGACAGGACAACTTCACCACATCAAAGGGACGATGGACGGGGTCATGCACCGTCAAATCTTGGGTGAGAACCTCCTTCCCTCAGCCAGGGCATTGAAAGTTGGTCGTGGATGGGTATTCCAGCATGACAATGACCCAAAACACACGGCCTAGGCAACAAAGGAGTGGCTCAAGAAGAAGCACCTTAAGGTCCTGGAGTGGCCTAGCCAGTCTCCAGACCTTAATCCCATAGAAAATCTGTGGAGGGAGCTGAAGGTTCGAGTTGCCAAACGTCAGCCTCGAAACCTTAATGACTTGGAGAAGATCTGCAAAGAGGAGTGGGACAAAATCCCTCCTGAGATGTGTGCAAACCTGGTGGCCAACTACAAGAAACGTCTGTCCTCTGTGATTGCCAACAAGGGTTTTGCCACCAAGTACTAAGTTATGTTTTGCAGAGGGGTCAAATACTTATTTCCTTCATTAAAATGCAAATCAATTCATAACATTTTTGACATGCATTTTTCTGGATTTTGTTCTTGTTATTCTGTCTCTCACTGTAAAAGAAACATAACATTAAAATTATAGACTGATAATTTATTTGTCAGTGGGCAAACGTACAAAATCAGCAGGGGATCAAATACTTTTTCCCTCACTGTATATACCAACAGAGGCCACGCCCTCCTTCCCGAACCGTCTCGCTGACTCTGGACGCTCGCTCAACCGGCAGACTCTACCGTCCTCTTCTGCCACTTGACCACGCTCTTAGTCTCGTCGCACTCACAACTGATACACCTGTCATTATCCCGTGGCCACTAGTGCATTTGCACTGTAGGCTGACTCCCCTGTCATTGCCTCCCGTGGCTACGTCCACTCACACCCCATGGAGGCTCTACTGTCCTTACATATGTATGAATAGTCCAAGTTAGAAGGGTGAGAGATGGTGCGATTTGCTGTTCGAATGCCGCCCAGTTTACAAATTCCCAAAGCTGTGCATTATACACTTTGTCTTGATACCACCTCTAAATACATGTAATATGCAACCAGGGTGTGCGTGCATACATCGGCCACAATATATCTTCCTAAATGTTGATATTAACTGTGCTATTACTACATTATACTTTATATATATGAATAAATATGCACGTAAAATAAAAGGAGGAATAAGCTGCCACTATCCAATTAAATCTAAGGGGGCGAGCTACTCTGTTAAGTGTCCTTGGAAATAACACATGTATTACTCATCTCTCTGCTCGTATTAATAAGACACATTCACTTATGCATACATTTTCTGCTGTGATTTGATCCTGCACTTCAAACTTATGAATACGAAGCTAACTCCAATGCGAATCACAGGAGGCATTTAGCCTCATCCCCCGCAATGCTTCCAACACTCACTTCACTGCAGCTGCAAAGTTCTTGAATAGATGTCAGCCACAATGACTACTCACTGGCTGCCTCAACGAATTTGGCATCATGCTAGGTTGACATATTCCATGAATAATGCCCTTTGTCTATCCAGTAAAAGCCTCACTTAATCTTGAGATTATTTTTCAGCAGGGTCCTGCATTGAAATGTTTGGCCAGTGCCATTATGCAATTGTCCGTTTAAATTAACATATTCAAATGTAAATGGTTTCTATGCCGTGGAGTGTTTTTTCATGAACGTACAAATTTGAGTTTATCACAGCAATCCAATGGATTCTCGTATGCACTCAGCCTGGCTTATTGTAGTGCGCCGGCAGGTGCTGCCAATTTTTGCGGTCTTATGTAAGGGTCAGCTCAAAAAGTTTGGTCTTACAGCTTTTCTATGAAAAAAAAAGGCAGGAAACTTAAAAAAAAAAATCCAAGGTCATTATTTAATTTACTATGGTGCTCTTCAATAAGTGGAGTATATAAGCATTTTGTTGCTACGCAAACTCATTTAGTAACCCCCCCCCCCACCGCCCATTCAAAAGTCAACTCATCCTTGCCTGCG